GAATTGAGGCAAACATTGCTGTCAGTGAGTGCAAACTGTCAATCAATAGAGCGTCTGTTCTTTGAATCTTCAAAATCAGGTATTGCACTTCTTCATGAGGAACCCCACCTTATGTTCTCAGAATTTATTCTTACACATGTTTGACAAATCCCAGGTAGAGATGACAGTTTGAAATCACCAACTTGTGTTGATCTGGTGAACAATTGCCCTCATCTAACATCATTGGCCTTCAGAGGGTTTAAGTTGCATGATTATAAAGTTCGTATACTTCTTAAGGTATGTCTTGGGAAATTCAAGAAACATTACCCCCGAGTCTTATATTATTCATTTTGTGTTATAGTAGAATACATTTGACAACAATTTTTCGGTGAAATGACTGCGTTTTGTCATACTGGAAATCTAATGTCTGGGTACTTGTTCAGGGACTTAAGAAATTAAAGTACGTTGATTTTTCAACTTCCTACTCGATCACTGGATCATTTTTAAGGTCAGTTATCTTTGATAGAGGAGACTTTTTATTAAGTTTCTGTATCATAGACTTAGTGAAGCATCATATTTTTCAGGAACCTTGGAAGCAGCACAGGTGGGAATCTGCTGGAAGTCTTGATTCTACGGGATTGCATGCATTTCAAAATGGTGAGCATTTTTTTTTATCAATTGTTTTTTAACAAGGTGAGCATTTCGGACTGTGCCTCTCCTCTCTTTCTCTCTCTGAAACCTAAATTGTAATTTTGAAGGTGGAGGCAACTCGGTTGTTGACAGCTATTCTTGCTGGGGATTTCAAGTTCCTTAGACATCTTGTAGGTGTTTAAAATATCATCATATTTTTGTTGTGTAAGCGTGCATATAAAGTTCTAGGACTCAAAGTGATGCTTACTTTTCCTATTGCCTCAAACAGGATATATCTAACAGAGAAGGCTTGGCGTCTGAGGATGACTGGATTCAGAGATGCCACACCTTAAGGTAATGGAATAGAGCTTTCCCATCTCTTAAACCACCACCTTACTGAAGGTGGGATTTGATCTTAGGTTCCTATTGTGTCACACAGAGATTTTAATAGTGAATTGTTTTGTCAATTTTATCGCAGCACCATTCCCTCGAAGCGGGTGTTAGAAGAAAGGCCTAATCTCTGTATGCTGGCTGATTTTCCACCAGAAGGAAGGTTTGCTTACTCTTCAACTGTTGTATTTCAATGGAACTTCAGCTTTGTTGTTCTATTTTAATTTTCTTTTTCCAAATATAGAATTAATAGGTCGTTGAAAATTGGATTATCATAGTTGTCTCTGGTTCTGAATGTGTTTGCAGTTACCCCGACATGGACCCAATGTTTGACAGTGAGCCATATAGTGATCTCAGTCTGCCTTCGGCATCACAGATGAGCAGTCCTTTATCTGATGGTTCGATGTTCGTGAGTTTTTCTGAAAGCAGTTACAATAGTGATCATGGTAGTGGCAACGAGGATGCTCGTTATGTAATTTATGATGAAAGCTCAGACGAGGTAGACTATGTGGCCGTGTAGTAGAAAACCAAGCATGGCAGGGATTGAAATCTGTGGCCGCCAAATGGATCATGTACCTCTCTCTCTCACACACACACATGCAAATTAATAAGTTGCAGAGTGATCTTTTTGGTGATTATTTTACATATTATTGCATGAGCTCATGCACTCATACAAGACGAAAGTTCTGCAAATTAGAGTAGGCTAACATGCTCGAGGTGTGCATATCACACATGCATACATCTTGTAACAATGTCGGTGGTTCATACGTTGTTTTGAACTATCTCATCTCCCAATGATGCGTGGGATTTTAAATGATTCGTAGCGATAAATTAATCATCAGCTCTATTTATCTTGCACTTAATATTATCTGCATTGCACGACAATCTGTTAGTGATTTGCATTACTGATGGTTCTTTCTTTGTGATTCCTCTAACAGAGTGCCTTTTTGTGCCTACAAAGTGTATGATTTGAAGCCCTATACGAGATGTAGCTTCAACTATGATCGAAAAATAGGACTCGTGGACACTAGGTGTACTGCCATCACCATCCTTGTCCATCTAACAACCTTATGTGGCCGAACCTAGGCAATCTCAATTTCGTATGGGAAGCTTCCTGGTGGGCTTGTTCTTTTCTCGTCCGCGTATCTTCCAGTATACAGAGTAAAGTGTCCCTTGAAGTATGCTGTTTCTATCATTTCTTTGATGTCAACATATATATTAGCCTATCCGTTGAGCATGAGTTCGTTTTGTACGGTAATTATTAAGATCTCTTAACTATTCACCAAAAGAAAAATCTCTTGAAACTGGTTTTATTGTATCTCATGAATTTAGTTATCTTTCTTCATGCTCGCATTTACTGTTTACCAGAAATGTATCTCGGTCACCCCATGATCAAGACATTCATGGTCACTCGCTCTTTGATTTGATATCAACTTTTGAAGTCAAAATCATCGACGGGCGGCCAAAAAAGCAGGACCATGAGAGTTTTTTACACACAGGTGAAATTGTGCCAAAATTACCAATTACCCAATATTCTGGTGTGGGGACGAATTTCAAATGGCATGTCTTGAGTTTGATTTTTGGCATTGGTGAATCACACAATGGTAGCCAGGAGAGACCGAAATGACTCCGTAAGTCTTTCCGGCCCCCAAAAGATTAGACTATTGACGGAGCCAATAGCTGGATTCTATTTTTTCGGAAAAAAAAAAATTAGTTTGGTGTTGGGTGCATCCGCGGGAAGAATTTAGTGGGTGAAATTATCGTACCAAATAACGTAGTGTGTGTTTAGTGTGAATGTAAAGCAGAGCAGAGAAGCGATGGCAAGTAGTGGCAGTGGCTAAGCATCGCTGCCCTACAGGCCGTACCGCCACCTCAGGATCCTCCCCGAAAGCGCCATGTCGTGCGTCAAATTCTCCAGCGACGGCGGCCTTCTGGCCTCGGCGTCGCTCGACAAGACCGTCATCCTCTAGTCCGCCTCCTCCCTAACCCTCCTTCGTCGCCTCTTCGGCCACCCCGAAGGCATCTCCAACCTCGCCTGGTCATCCGATGACCGCACCCTTCACATCTGGGACGCCCGTTCCCCCGTCGGCGAGTGCGTTAAGACCCTCCGTAGCCATTCCGACTGCATCTTCTGCGTCAATTTCAACCCCATTATCGAGTGCATAATAGAATTTTCGTAGTCTTTTGCCTACTAAAGGACAAAAATCCATCCATCCCTTGGAGAAAATGCATCCTATTCACCGGTGCATTGTAGAATTTTCGTAGCCTTTTCGCTACCAAATTTCGGACTCACTATCGAACTAAGCAAAGGACTGCATGTGCGAGTTAGGCTAGTTTACCATTGCATGTTCGGCCCCTTGTATCCAGATTCGAATTTCATTTTTTTTAAATATCAAAATAGTAAAAAAAAAGAACAATACTTGACTACTCAAAGATGAGTACGAACTCCTACTCAAAACTTTTAGTGTTTTAATTACAGAGCTTTGTGCTTATGATCAAAACCGTTCATATTATGAATCACACTGTAAATATCATCTCTGCAAAAAAATAAATTAAAACTAAGGTCGTTTAGTTAATCTATTATAGCAAATACATCGATAGTTCGTAATGCTTTTACCAATACCGTTAATTTGTTTTTAAACAATTTGATGACTAAACGACCTTAGTTTTAATTGATATTTTTGCAGAGACGATCTTTATAGGATGATTTATAATATGAACGGTTTTGATTATAAACATTAAGTTTTATAAATTGACAACGAATAATTTTGAGAAATTTAAGTATAAGTTACTACTCATTTTTCAGTCGTCCAGTTCAAAAAGAAAAGGGGAAAATAGAGTAACAAGCAAAGCATTATTATATAGCAAACAGATATTTTGCTTACGATGACATTATGACAAAATGGGAACTCTATCTCTCTCCCCTCTTCTCTCCCTCCATTCTCCACCACGACCCCGTCTCACCTCTGCACAAACCCATCTCTGCAACCCCGTCTCCGGCCCACACATCTCCGTAACTTATCCGAAGCCGACGAGATTTCGCAGCGAAAATGTCGTCGTCTTTGGCAGCAATTCAATCGACCCGAAAGAGTCGCAGTTCTTGGACGAAGACGGAGTTGTGGATGACATGGATGGCTACATGAACTACCTTTCTCTTGAATACGACTCCGTTTGGGACACCAAGCCATCCTGGTGAGCCCTTCACCCTCTCCCCGCTCTTCCCTATTTTCCTGTTGCTTGTTCTAAATAAGGTTTTTCGTTTTGTTTTGGACCGGTTCTGTTCGGTTCGGTTTTTATTGTGTTCGTCTTAGCTTGGGGACGTTGTTGGAATTGAATTTCAGGTTACCCAGTTAAGGGTCTGTTCGGGAATGCTAATCTAGAAAGCACTTTTGCTCATAAGAGCATTTGTTAAAAGCACGTCACTTCTTCGGAAAAACACTACTTCCAAAGTGCTTTTATACAAGAGACGCGCTTTTGGTTATTTGAAAAACACTTATAAGTCATTTTAAAATTACTTCCAAACAAACCCGAAAGAGAAATAACAAGGTTCTCTGGTTAATCTCAGGTGTCAGCCATGGACAATTACGCTGACTGGAGTGGTAGTGATTGGTGGTAGCTGGTTGATTCTGCACTCAGTAGTCGTGACAATCTTGGCAACCTTACTAATTAGCACTTGGTGGTACATCTTTCTCTATTCTTACCCTAAGGTATGTTGGCATCACTCCCTCTATTCTTTGTTTTCTTGTTTTCTCCTCGGTGCGACGGGCAAATACGCTACCCTAGTCAACTGGCATAACCCACGCATGCGTCTAAATTTACTGTCTTTTTCGTTTCCAGGCGTATGCGGATATGATTGCCGAGCGGCGGAGCAAGGTGAACAATGGCGTTGAAGACACTTTTGGTTTTGGGAAGAGCCAATGATCTTTGTTCTCTCTATATCTCTCTCCATGCTTCACAATGTTTGTAAAACAATCTTAATTTTAAGGAATATAACTACGAGATGTTAAATCCAGATGAATATGGATTAACGATTTCAATTGAATTAAAGATGCGAGCTAACTACATAACAAAGTTTCAGTTTGATTGTGCACTGAAAAAATTCACACGAATATATACATGACTAGATTTTCTATGGAGCCGGCATTATCAGAAACCTTTCCTCCAAAACCTGATTTCCGCTAGAGGCCGCCCTCTCCTCCGATGCTAGCAGAGACTGCAAGTCGCTACCATTAGCCAAGCTGTTGAACTCCACAGCTTTTGAAGGCATGGCTGGGTAGCGTCGTTGGCAAAAGGTCATCAATCTCTTGATTGACTGCAAGTATTTCCGAGTTGTCTCATCATTCATGATATGAGCCACACTGTTGGTGTAAATCTTCTCACGGGCAGAACGTTCGTGGATACCAACCATAGTGACACCAATTGGCCACGGGGCGTTCCCAATAGCCAGCTTGATGTACTGATCCATTGCAGCTAGGTAGTCTCGCTTCATGCAGCACCGAACCACCACCATCAACGCTATGCGAATATCATCTTGAAGGATCTGCAAATCGAATACAACAATTCAATGCTCCATATCCAAAAATCAAATGAACTAAAGGGTGGTTTGGGAGTGAGGTGCTTAAAAAAAAAAAGCACCCATGAAAAAAAGCTGTGAAGGTTTTAGGGGCTTAGTAAACTGAAAAAAAAAAAGCTTATTTTGGAAGCTGCTGTAAGAATAAGCTGAAATCAAAAGAAAAAGCTGAAATTGCTATTTGCAGCTTTGGAAAACTGCCTTTTTTTCAAAGCACACGGAGTTACAGCGCTTCTTTAATGAAAATACCCCCTATTAGATTGTTTTTTTTCCAAAAGCACTTTTACAAAAAAGTTTACCATATAGATTTATTTCACAGCCGTTTATTCTCACAGCAAGTTTTTTTTCAAAGCATAGCAATACCAAACCTGCCCTAAAACTATACAATCCAAAGAGAACTACAACACTTAAAAAGCACAGGGTTTTGACATTCTAAGCTCAATTGTGAGAAAAATGTACACCTAAGAGCATACCTTCGAGTTCTATTTCCGAGTTCTTTTCGCGGAATGTATATAAGTTGAGCACGATGCGATTGGTCACTGAGCTAAATATAATCGAAAGAGAATGAAAACACATAAAGCAGTAATCAATTTACCTTCTTCCTGCAGAACTTGAACAGAGGATGCAAGTAGCGGGCACATTGCTTGAATGTAGCAACCATGGACTTCCCCTTAGCAGTTCTCCTCTCCGCATCCGGCATCTCGCGCAGCTCCTGGTTCCATTCATTCAACAGCTTCTTGAAGAACACCAAGATCTTATCTTCATCACACAGCTCCTCGAAATTCGTCTTCATTCGCTTCAAATCCTTATCAGCATCGACGCCGCTCGAGCACCCATCTGCGCTCAAATCGTCTTCCCGGACCCCGCCCTCACCATCTTCCACGCCACCATCAACCTCCGTCTTCTGCCGCTTGCTCACAAGCCCCGACTTCTGCCGCTTCCTCAGCTCCGCAATGTCGCGAAGGAAATCGTTCGTCTGCCCCTCCGTCATGTCGCTGTCGACCTCGAACAGACCAGCCTTCAACACGTACTTAAGCCGGTCGAGCCGGGCGTCATCATCCTCGCCGAAGAGAGTGATCGGCTGCTTGAGGAACCGGAGCCGGCGGACGACCTCCTGTTTCGGAAGGTTCATATTGTCGATGTTCTGCTCATCGGTTAAAGACTTCGACGCGGTGGCATTGGAGGATGCGTTGGCGGAGGAAGAGGCTGCGGCGGAATTGGAATTCGAATTAGCGGCGGAAGAGTCGTTTGCGGAGGCGGTGTTGGAGGCGGCGGCTTGGCGCTGGGCTTTGGCTTCTAATTCGCGCTTCTCTTGCTCCCGAAGCTTCTGGATTTGCTTCTGCTCGATCTCGGAGCGCTTGAAGAATCGTTTGCCGCCGGTGTCTTCTTTGAGCCTCTGCCGTTTCTTGGCGATTTCTTCCTTCAGCAGGTCCATCTAGGGTTTTGAATGGGATTTCGAATTTAGGGAAGAAGACGATGATTTGATTTTCCTGAATTAAATAGATCGATAAAAAGATAAATACTTTTTGGTGTGGGTTAACGGAGCGCAATTTAGGTTTTCGGTTCGGGTCTAAAATAACCCAATGAGAAAATTGCATGAATGGCACTTGAACAAAATCCTTTTATGAATGAACCACCCAAATTTCACATTGTTTCACAATTGGCACCCATACTTAAGGGCATTCTCATCATTTTGTACAACTGGGTCACTCGAAGTTGGATCTATTTACGAAATGTTCTTCATCTACTAAGTATGATAGGTGAAATGTTCTTCATCTACAACCACGAGCTAGTGATTCAGTGGTAAATGACAGATTGCGAGAGTTCTTTCGAATTAAAAATTGGTGGTCTTGGGTTCGAAACACACTGCTAGTGTGGAAGCCAAACTTGTGACCAGGGGGAGGCTGAAATATCTCTGTGAGTCTTCTCGACCCAAAAAATAGTGGATAATTGTGGCTTGCCACCAGTTGTTCCCCTTTTAGAAAAAAAAAATGTTCTTCATTTACATAGATTTTAATGTAAAACAACACCATTTTAATTTTTATATATATACAAGCCCTTTATGCAAAGAGATCCCCATTTTTTGAAAAAAAAATAAGGATTAAGTGTGGGGCTCACTCCACATCGAATTTCAACGATCCAAACCGTTTAATTTGTTAGTCTCAATTCATAGATCATAGGGGAGGCTGAAATGTCTTTGTGAGTCTTCCCGACCATCAAAAGGGGTAGATAACTGTGGCTTGTCACCAGTTGTTCACCTTTTAAAAAACAAATGTTCTTCATTTACATAGATTTTAATGTAAAACAACACCATTTTAATTTATATATATACAACCCCTTTATGCAAAGGGATACCCATTTTTTGAAAAAAAAAAATAGGGATTAAGTGTGGGGCTCACTTCACATCGAATTTTAATGATCCGAATCATCTGTTTTATTAGTCTCGATTTATAGATCATCTTTGCAAAAATTCAATTTAATCTGAAACCATTTGCCTATTTAATTATTAAAATCAAATTTCATTGTTTCTTATATAATAAAGTATTCATTCATTTCTTTGAACCCAATTAGATGTGTTAAATATTTCTGATTTGACTAATATTTTGTAAGGATGATCTATGAGGTACAACTTAAAAAATAGACGATTCAGATCGTTAAAGTTCGATGTGGTGACCTCACAACTAATCTCCATTTTTATAAAAAAAAAAGGTAAATTACATAGTAGCCCCTCAAGTTTGAAGTCTATTTGCAATCTTATACAACATCTTTAAAACATTTCACTTTCATACCTCAAGTACTATTTTATTTCAATTACATACAACCGTTACATTTTCCATCCATGGATCTGTTAAATGCTGACGTGGCTGCCACATATATGCCATGTGGTTGCCAAATGTTTGCCATGTGGCAAATAAAATAATTTTTTAAAAAAAAACCTGAATATGGAAGGAAAAAAAAAAAAAAGGGACCGAACCCTTGCAACCCAGAAGAAGAAGGAGGAAGAAGAAGAAGAGAAGAAGAAAGAGGAGGAGGAGGAAGAAGAAGAAGAAGAAGAAAAAAAAAGAAAAAAAAAAGAAAGGGACCGAACCCAGAAGAAGAAGGAGGAAGAAGAAGAAGAGAAGAAGAAAGATGAGGAGGGGGAAGAAGAAGAAGAAGAAGAAAAAAAAAAGAAAAAGAAAAAAAGGAAAAGGGACCGAACCCAGAAGAAGAAGGAGGAAGAAGAAGAAGAAGAAGAAGAAGAAGAAGAAGAAAAAAAAAAGGGATCGAACCCAGAAGAAGAAGAAGAAGAAAGAGAAAAAAAAAAGTACTGGCACACATGTTTTAAAAAAAATAAATAAAAAATTATTTTATTTGCCACGTGGCAGACATTTGGCAGCCACGTGGCATATATGTGGTAGCCACATCAGAAGAAGAAGAACAAAAAAAAAAGGGATCGAACCCAGAAGAAGAAGAAGAAGAAAGAGAAAAAAAAAAGTAGTGGCAGACATGTTTTAAAAAAAATAAATAAAAATTATTTTATTTGCCACGTGGCATATATGTGGTAGCCACATCAGCATTTAACAGATCCATGGATGGAAAATGTAACGGTTGTATGAAATTGAAATAAAATAGTACTTGAGGTATGAAAGTGAAATGTTTTAAAGATGTTGTATAAGATTATAATAGACCTCAAACCTGAGGGGCTACTATGTAATTTACCAAAAAAAAATGAAGATCTCTTCCTTTAAAGGCTTCATATATATATATATATATAAAACACATGAAAAATTAGTAACTAAAATACAGAACTTTAATTCTCATAATTTATTAATTCATGAAAATAAAAAATAAATATAATTTCAAAGTAATAAAATCAAAACTCAGAATATTTTACCTCTATGTTGTGCCTTGTTTAACAACGAAAATGACGAGAATGCTTTATGAAAAAGGCACACATTCATGACACGTACCGATGTTTAACAGAAAAGTGGATTTAATTGCATGAAGGTGGCAAATTGTAAACAGCATGAAAAATGAGCACTTAAGTGTTAAGAGTAAACAATCATTTAACCCCCTAAACTATCATGTGAGTATCAATTTCCCCCTGAACTATTTTTTCAGCCAATTGACCCCCTAAACTATGTTAAAGTGGCCAATTCACCCCCTACCGTTAAGTATCTTTAACTCCATCTAATTTTCTGTTAGAAAGTGTCATGTGCTTGGCACATGACCACCTTTTTACATTTTTTGTCTAAATCTTTACAAAGAAAATATATAAAACAAATATTAAAAAAAAAACATACAAACCCTAAACTTAATCATTCAAAATAATAGAAAAAGTACGGCTTTTTATATTAACACCTTACAAAATGTTGAATGCACCATATATTAAAATTTAATATTAAATGACTTATTTACTCCACTATGCAATGACAATTTTGACCTTATTAGGTTTTAAAAAAAATAAAATTTTATAAATACACCCAAAATCACTTTTAACGTATTATTTATTTTCTCAACTATCAAAACCCTCTCATCCTCCATTGTTGGACAAAACCCTAACCAATGAAACTACAAACATGTTGATTGAGACAAATTGTTTTGACAAATGAAACACGAAATCGATGTTTCTGAAGCTTCACATGAGATAAGTGTAGACATCGAAATTTTGGTAAATAAATGTTGACCGATAAATCAAAGTTTCAACGCTCATATATTACATAAATTTTACACGTAGCATATGACTCGATGAAAAATTGAAATGAGTCGGAAAAGCCATCAAACAGGACACGTGTCAACACCTGGCAGAAACGACTTATTTCATCTGGAATATTATATTCAAAATTAGGCCTTGGAAAATTCTATAAATAGAAGCCAATTTCATTCATTTTAGGACAAATTCATATTACACCTTGAAGCTCTGAAGCTCTGAAACTCCGAAGCTCTCAAGCATCCAGGTTCCCGAAGAATCAAGAAAGCCTTCTTCGTTCTTCGTTCCTTGAAGATCTGCTCAAATCCACATTCAAGATCAAGCTCAACGGCCCTTGAAGAACGTTCATCCTTAGATCAAGCCCAAATGCCCTTTGGATCAATCACACATCCACAAATCAACACTTTACGGAGATCGAATCAGAGGATCAAATTTGAAAGAGATTGTAACTCAAAATCATCAAATACAAATATTATTTTGTGCACGTTGTTCTTGTCTCTTTCGTTTCAGGAAAATTTCGTGTTCACAATTTGGCACGCCCGGTGGGACAATCTCTACCTCTCATCTTTTTCTCCGTTCAACAAATTCAAGCCCACTTCCAAAATCAATGGCATCAAGCAAAGGACAAGCCGTTCTCGCAAAGGGAAGAAACCTGAGCACTTCTGCCATGAACGGAGCATCCATTGGCACCACAACTACTCTTCAACAAACCACCTCAAAGTCGATGCCGCTAAGGGAGCAAGTGGAGCATCAAAGACGCAAGCCCGTCATCAACCTAACCTCGTTGGGGGCATCGAAGCATACCGTTGATGCACATCAGATGACATCCCTAAACGGCCAACGGGGTTCTTCATCAACACCCTGGATGCTTGTAGAGTTGCGTATGATGGTTGCACAAGTAATGACCATCAGCGTTACCTCAATTGAAGAACAGCTGGCTCAAATGAATGAAGCAATTGCAAGGCTAACACGGATTGTTGAAGAAAAAGACTTGCAAATCGTTGCACTCGTCAGCTGACTGGAGCCACATGACGGCGAGAACCCCGACCTAGAGGATGATCCACTAAAGAGAACAACTGGCGAAGAAGAGGAGCCTCTAGTGGAGAAAATCGATATGAAGCCGGAGCCAGACCAAGCAGCGACACTCATGGGATCTCTTTCTATCCAGCAGCTGCAGGAGATGATCACCAACACCATCAAGGCACAGTAGGAAGAGAGCTCACATACCTCTTTGTTCTACTCGAAGCCATACTCCAAGAAGATTGATGCCCTGAAGATGCCAATGGGTTATCAACCACCAAAATTCATGCAGTTTGATGGAAAAGGAAACCCACAGCAGCACGTTGCACATTTCGTCGAAACTTGCAACAACGCGGGGACAGAGGGAGACTACCTCGCCAAGCAGTTTGTGCGCTCGCTGAAAGGAAACGCCTTTGAGTGGTACACGGACCTAGAGCTTGAGTCCATCAACAACTGGGAGCAATTGGAAAGAGAATTCTTTAACCGCTTCTACAGCACCCGCCGCACTGTAAGCATGCTGGAGCTCACAAGTACGAAGCAATGGAAAGATGAGCCGGTCATTGACTACATCAACAGATGGCGCACTCTAAGCCTCGACTGCAAAGACAGACTCTCGTAGACCTCTTCAATCGAGATGTGCATCCAAGGCATGCAATGGGGTTTGCAATACATCCTTCAAGGCATCAAACCACGAACCTTCGAAGAGCTAGCCACCCGCGCCCATGACATAGAGTTAAGCATCGCCCATCATGGGAAGAAGAAACCGATCACCGACTACAAGAACGATAA